TTTATATAAAATATATTATATATACATTTTAATATAATGTTTATATATAAATTAGAGTTCATGAAAAATTATATATTTAAAAAATAATACATATTTTATTATATATTACATAATATTAAAAAAGGGAATAAAGGGGGGAAATTACATTTTTTATTTTTTTAAAATATTATGAATATTTTATTGATTTTATTACATTAGCTTTTGAATTCTTTTTTAGTTTTCAGTCAATGCCAGTATAGTTGCAGTGGCTCATTTTGGCCCATTAATGGTTCTGTATCCAGAAACACAGCGAAGCATAATGAGATGTTTGTCCGTCAGCGTGTGGTGATTTATCGGAGCGAAGCATGTGACACACACCTGTTCTGCTGGAGCTCATAAGCCACAAACAGTTAAATATAGAGCGCCACGGCCCACTCGACCCGCCTGACCTACAGAGACAGCACTGATGAAAGAGTCCGCTCGTTTGTTGTGTTTGTGTTTGTGCAGGTCGTGTTCATGACGGGAAGCTGTACACGGGTCTGTGTAACTTCAACGAGCGATGGGAGCGTCTGTCTCTGGCTCAGAAGAAGGGCATCAATCATCGCTATCAGCTGGGCTGTAACTGCAGGGTGAGTGAGGCTATTCTCATCACTAGCTATGCTCACAATGAGCAGCTGCCGGCCCATAATCCCCGGCGGCACGCACACGGCTCGTCTGAAGAGCCAAACCAGATGTTTGGCAGCCAGTCTGGACTCAGATCTGAGCGCAGATGTGCTGAGGGATCGTGGGTAATGGGCGCGCTCGTTAGACTCATTATCACTGGGTCGTCATTAGAGTTAGATCACTAAACAAAATCAAACAAACACAGAATTTATGAAAAAAATCAAACATTTCATTATCGTAAAAAGAATTATTGTAAACATTTTAATGAATTATTTGGTAAAGTTTTGAGTTCAATAATTAGACATGCTTTTTGATTATTAAAATTTATTTGAACCGTTAAAATGGAATTTAAAACGGAAAACATAGAATTTTTGGGGGAAAAAATAAAATTTAAACAATTTCATAGGGCGGTAAAAATGAAATTTTTGTAAAAAATGTTCATGTATTGTTGTTAAATTGCGTAAGTATCATAATTTCAATTAATTAGAAATGCTTTTGGATTAGTAAAAAACTGAATAAAAAAAATTAAAATAGAAAAAGAAACAGAATACAGAAAAATTTTAATGGAAAAAAATTTATTTGGGAAACTTAAACTGAATTTTTGGAAAAATAAAATGCATTTCACACTCCATTTTATTTTTAATGGGCCCTAAAATGAAATTTTTGTCAAATGTTTAAGAAATTGTTGTTAAACTGTGTATGTTTCATAATTACAATTAATTAGATTTAATTTAATTTAGCCATTAATAATGGACTCCAGAAAACAGAATTTGGGGAAAAATAAGATTTCATAGGAGCCTAAAAATATATTTTTGTAATAAAAAAAAAAAAAATGTTAAATTGTGTTTGAATGATTTCAATTAATTAGACATGCTTTTTGATTATTAAGATTTAATGTAATCAAGAAAAAGTTTTACAGAAAAATGCAATACAAAAAAAATTAAAATGGAAAAAACGGAATTTGGGAAAAAATAAAATGGATTTCATAGGGCCCTAAAAAATATATATTTTTGATAAACTTTTAACAAATTGTTGTTAAATTGTGCAAATTTCAAGATTTAAATGAATTAGACATGCGTTTCGTTTACTAAAATGTTATTTAACCATTAAAAGCACATTTTGGAAAATTTAAACGAAAAAAAACAGGACTATTTTATAGGGCCTGACTCACATGCAAATGTTCATTTAACAATGAATAATCACCACCATTAAATACATCCGATTTCAGAAGAAAACCCTGCATCTAGTGCGTCTGCATAAAGACTTCATGCATCCATCAAACACCTGGAAACAGGTTCAGGAGCTGATTTGCATGAGGAATAAACTAGGGCTGGGTAAAAAATTTACAGTAAGTCATAGTAATGTAGTACCAACTGACTCGTGTATATTTTACAGCATTAGTTGAGAGATTTGTTTTCCTTGAGAAAATTTGGCATGTACTGTACCTGATATATATCCAAAATAATCGTTTAAAATAATAAGCTTGTGAATTGAATCGTGAAATTTGTGTCAAAACCCAGCCCTAGAATAAACGCTCGTGTGTCCTGTGTTTGCAGATCAAGCCGTGCCACTATCTGCCCTGCTTCGTCACGTCCAAGAGCGAGTGTCTTTGGACGGATATGCTGTCGCACTTCGGCTTCCCCGGCTATCAGTCGCGTCACTACGCCTGCATCCAGCAGAAAGAGGGCTACTGCAGCTGGTACCGAGGCATGAGCGCTCGCGACAAGCTCATTATCAACACCACCGACCCCTGAAGCGCTTCAGAACCGGGCCTTAAACCGCTGGTGCATCAACGCCATCGAACCCTGAGCACACGGAGCCATCCGCATTAACCAGATTAAATATGAAGTCATTTATGAACGCAATAAAACCCTGCTCTTTTATAGTGATGTGCTGCTTTTTAAACATATCTGTTGTTTATGTGCGTGTGCCAGATTTATACGGTTCAGTATCTATTTATGATTCGATGCAGAGAAATGATTCCTTCCTTCTTGCTGTTTATGATGTAAGCTATGAAATTGTGATTAGTATTTAAAGCAGAGACTATAAACGGTAGATCGATCACATCTTTTCTACGTCTAGACTGATGGCATGCGTCTGAAATGCGTTTTCTAATGGGAAAGTCGAGGTTTGACCGATGGGGAGGATGTGAATCGGACGTGACAAACGTGTTTAATCGTTTCTGACACTAAACTCCTGTTGATTTCTGCTCCATTTCTGCGCTGGAGGCTGAGATGAGGAGCGTGTGAGTCTGCTGTTTCAGAGTCTCGGTCTCCGACGCATGTTTTTAGATCATTAAGGTAATATTCTGTCTGTAACACAAACATCTGCTCAGATCAGACCCGTCACGTGTGTGTGTGTGTGTGTGTGTGTGTGAGTGTGTGTGTGTGAGAGTGTGTG